AACACAGATATTTACAGAACTAAACCGATGTTTAAAAAAAAAAAAAAAAAAAAAAAAAAAGAGAGAGATCAGCACCACGGTAGTGCTCACACTGTAGTCGCAGCATGTGAAGTGTGTGTGTGTGTGTGTGTGTGTGTGTGTGACTACATGGGTGTTGACGACAAAATTAAAAAAAGTTAACTGTAAAGTATAGAGATCAATTTAATCCAGAATAAAAGACTGGGAGAACAGGAAACCAGGAATACATGAAGAATCACTTCTCTAATTTCTGTCTACAGTAAAAACACCATGAATGTCTTTACAATATGCCTTCAATCCATCAATAATATTGGCAGGAGAAACCAGCTGAACTCACATGCAACGTGCAGAGCAGAAAAAGCACCAACAGTGTTCGAGCTATTCAACAAACATGTCTGACTGAGAGAGGGAAAGAACACGGATTAAGATAAATTTAATCCTGGCACCTTTAAACTCAAACTAACCACCGAGTTCAAATCGGAGGGTTGACTGAACTCGTACACGTGAAGTCGAGAGACTAGCATGGCTTCATTGTGGAGGCCCAGTGGGTGGCTGTGGTGCTCAGTGAGCTGTGCTGACCCCTGGGTGGAAAGGCTGATTTCAGCATGGCTACACCCTCCGACCACTACCAGTTGGCATGGAAGCTGCTGCTATAGCAACAGATGGGACCCTGAAGTTGAATGCCTCTGCCCCCTGGAGGACAGAAGACAGTAAACTGAGCACAGTTCACGTGAAATGGATGGGAATATGGCAAGTTTCTGAACTGTGTGAGTTACACACAAAATGGGTGCATAACAGGAGAAGAAAGAAATCTCTTGGGTTGTCAGTGGTTTTATGGTTGAGGGTAGGAGTGTGATGTTTGGTGTTATGCCCTATTCCTCAGTTTCCCTAAACATCATGCATTTATAAGATGTATTCAGAGAACACTAGAGAAAGAAACACAAAATGGGAGAACAAGAACAAGTGAGTCAGCCAGGGAAGGGGTGGGGCGGGATGTATAAGTGAAAATGAATGAAAAGAGGACACAAGAGGATGAAAGATATTAAGAGGGTGGAAGTGAGCAGATTGTGGGCTTCAGTTGATGGTGGCTTAGACAGTTGTTGAGAATGATGGCACTTCCATGCCACACAGTGGAGGTGGCATTAGTAAATTTTTAACAGCAGCTATCCGGGACTGGAATTACATCTGACATACCATTATTCCATCTCCATGATCCATTACAGACCATGTTTGCTTCTGTGACATAAACTAAAGTGCATAAAGTTAAGACATTTCTTTGTAGCGCATTATGGAAGGGGCTCTAGAAGATTAATAGCTTGGGTGCCAATGTCCTTTGCCTCCATTCTGGTAGTCTGGGGCTGTTATATTCATCTTCACTGTGCAATGTAATAATGAGGCGAGTGGGGGTGTGGGAATTTTGCCGATATGCAGGGTAAGGGTGGGCAATGATGAGGAAAATAGCAAATCAATTCTTCCTATAAGAAACTTGGATACTTCAATTAGACTGTGTTCTACTTGTTACTGTTAAATCATAAAGACCAATGTCCTAGATGGGATGCCTTTACTGCCAACTTCTAGTTACCGATTTGTATGGCTCAAATGTATATACACACACACACACACACACACACACAACACACACACACACACACACACACAAAGTATGTGGACACCAAAGAACTGAAAAGCCCATTCCAAAACCATGGACATCAAAATTGAGTTGTTCCGCCTTTGATGCTATTAAGAGTCTCCACTCTTCTGGAAAGTCTTTCCACGACATTTCGGACCATGGCTATTGGGATTTGTACCCACTAAGCCACAACAACTTAAGAGGGCTTTAGACTGCGTGATGTTCGAGTGAAGAAACTTTCTTCCCCTTTCTTTTTTTTAATAAAAAAATGGCAGGTTACTCAAGTTCTTCCAGAACATTGGCAATCCATTTCTTTCTGAAACTCATTTTGTACACAGGGATATTGTCATGCTGGAACACGTTTGGGCCACGAAGATCCAGTGAAAATAATTTAATGCTACAGCTCGCAAAGATATTTTAGACAATTGTGCACTTTCAACTTTGTGGAAACAGTTTTATAGTCAGATGTCCACATAGGGTCAAGATCATGGCAAGGTCAAATGTCTGAAATAGTTTTCAGAAATTGCTTGCTTCCTGTTTTTGAAGTACACTGTTTGGATCAATTCCAAAATTTGATCAGTTCCTCTGCTGGCTACAAAGATGATTCACTATAAACATTTAACCGCTAGTTCTTGAGAGGTCAAGCTACGGACAGATGCATGTATGGACAGAAGCACAGACAACATGAAAACAAAACCTAAAAGGAGAATAAGTACAAGAAGGTAAGTAAAAACATAACATTTTACAGCTTTAAAGACTCACCAAAAAAATTAATACAAGCTGCTGCTTCCAGGCATTCTGCAATTGCTCTCGCTCAATAAATAAATTATATATATATATATATATATATATATACACACACACACACACACACACACACACACACACACACACACACGATAACATCCTGATACTTTAATCTGAGCTTATATACCCGATACATCCTGATAACTTGTATCCAATCTTTTTTGAAAACAGCACATTTAAAACAGGCTATCTTCCTGTTGTCATTTCATTTTGCTAAAATCAAGAAGAGAAGAAATAACATTGGAGCAGTTGAAAAACGAATCTGTATGATTAATGTTTTGAGGACAAAAGTATCTATAAAGAAGAACTGAAAAGAAAAAAAAAAAGAAAAAAAAAAAAAAGATACAGAATGTGGTCATTTAGAAGCATAAATGAACCATGACAGTCTCCAGACACACCCATGCTGAGATGAGAGCACAAGTTAGTGGTGTGGGAATAATCCTTGTACAAAGATTAATAGCTAACAACTATAATCCAATGACTAGTACAGTGCTGTACACCTGGCTTTATCCAATCAGCATCTTTATTCAGGCCAATCCTCCAGTGAGACAGGAACACACGGAGGGGGGTGGGTTGAGCAAGAGAGAAGGAAAAAAAATTAAAAATAAAAATAAATAAATAAATAAGCAAAAAAAAAACAAACAAACAAACAAAAAAAAAAAACAGCGAACTGTAATGGTCAAGGATGATTTTGTCTTAGATAGTAGTTGATGCTGGTTTGCATAGTCTCCCTCCCTCTCTCTCCTCCTTTGTATCAATCATGATCAATTGTCTATTTTTGTCGGTCCTTCTGGATGCTGACTGAGCCACTGATATGCTCACAGAAAGTCTCCTGCATCACACAGAGGAGAGCTCAGCAGGAAACTAAGATCTGAGAAGGAATTACGGCTGATATAACGTTAAACAGAGTGTAATGCAAGACTACAGAATGTAATCTTAAATGTAAAAATAATTATGCCAACTGATACTGATAGTTGTAGTGTATTATGGTATTGGTGGAAAAATACTGCACCCATTACACACACATAATATAAAAGAAGTACTAAAGACAAGCGCTTTTGTTTTCCCGCTTGCCGGTAGCTCACTGCATTCTAATAAAACAGCATTATCTCCCAAACCACATAAAAGTGCCTCTAATCATCAATCATCATCAAAATCTAATTTGGTGGCTGTATATACACACACACACACACACACACACACACACACACAGTAGAGAGGAACTATTCCACAGGATGGCACCAGCAACTTTTAAAATCGCCACTAAAAGGCAATGAAACACTTTCATCTAAACAATAATGTTCCCCTAAAAATCCACGGTTTGGGAAGACAGTGTGACTGATCTTAAAGGTTTAGCAACCGAAAGCCTCCATGACTCACTGGGTCTCAAAATATCTCCGCATACTCAGCAAGAAGCTCCATGTCCACAGCCTGCCAACATGAGCTCTAAGCAAAAGGAGAGAAGTAAACTGAAGGCCTCGGGGACAAGAAAAGAAAAAAGAAAAATAAAAAACTTCCAATTTATCTACTCTTCTCAAGCAGCTTAGTCATTCTAAAAGCTTCCTGCATTTCAAGTCAATTGAATTTCATGTAAAAAAAAAAAAAAAAAAAAAAAAATTCAAGTTTTCAAAAAACAACATTTTGCGGTTTACCCAAGAGTGCATTCATGTATGCAGCGTTCACGCCGTTAGAACTGAACCCTTCGGTGCAGTTTGTTTGGGCAGGTGAGAATGCAGCAATTGAGTGTGGACAATTAGTGTTGGTCGATAGCATTTACCTCATTTATCCAAAGTGACCCACAATTGATGGAGGATATAAATGAGCAGTTGCAGGCTAAGGGTCTTTGAGTGATCAACAACTGCCTTAACCACTGAGCCAACAGAGATTACACTGAGAAAGTGATTACAATGCTGAACTCATCCAACTACATGAACCAAATGTGTCGTGTGTTTTGGGTTGTGGGTGACATTTTTCAGGGGATACGAGCTGCTAAACTGAGTTGTGAGGCACAAACTGGGCTAAAGGACAGAGTTGAAGTGCTGCAGAAATGCAATGTGTTCTTGAGCCCAAAAAAAACAAAAAAAAAAAACAAACAAAAATGGTGGATGTGATGCAGATAAAATATTAATTTCTATAAACTAGTACTTTAGTTTATTTACTTTTTTCTGTCATTGCATTTCTGACAGGAGTGTTTCAGCCCTAGGCATCCCGCAGACAACTTTTTGCTTGGTTTGATTACATGCAGTGACCTGGACATTTTGTTAGGATAAATGGCATCATGGACGATCAAATATCATCCATCCATTTTCTATACCGCTTATCCTTTTCAGGGTCATGGGGAAACCTGGAGCCTATCCCAGGGAGCCTACACCCCGCCTAGGGTGCCAATTCATCGCTGGGCACAATCACATACACATTAACACACCCATTCATACACTACAGACACTTTGGACAGGTCAATCAGCCTACCATGCATGTCTTTGGACTTGGGGAGGAAACCGGAGTACCTGCAGCACGGGGAGAAAATGCAAACTCCACACGCACAGGGCCATGGTGGGACTCGAACCCCCAACCCTGGAGGTGAGGCGAACGGTCTAACCACTAAGCCACAGCGCGCCCCATCAAATATCGATAGATATTAAATGAAAACCTGACTGCCTCTGCCAGAAAGCTTAAAATGGGCCATGGTTGGATCTTCCAGCAGGACAATGATCCAAAACATACATCAATACAAAAATGGTTTACTGACCACAAAATGAAGGTCCTGCCATGGCCATCCCAGTCCCCTGTGGGGTGAATTGAAGCGGAGAGTCCACCAGTGTGGACCTCAAAATTTGAAGGATCTGGAGAGATCCTGTCTGGAGGAATGGTCTCTTTCCATGTATTTGCCAACTCGTTCACGTTGCATTATAAGGATAAGACTCTGAGCTGTTATCTTGGCAAAGGGAGGTAGCACAAAGTATTGACTAAAAGGGTGCCATTAACTGTTACACAAATTTAACAAAGATTTTTTTTAAATAAACCTGTGTTGTGTTTGCAATTGTTTGATATCCATGAGAGCAGAGTATTTTTGTGAATTTTAACAAAAAATAAAAAGGTTAAACATTAAAGACAATTTTTCCACAGCCTTCTTTGCTCATATTTACCAAGGGCACCAAAATTAATGGAGGGCACTGTAAGTGAAATGGCAAATTCACAAAAAAATAAATAAATAAATAAATAAAATCTCTCTTCAAATTTTAGGGAACCCCCCCCCCCAAACAAAAATCCACCCCTCTGCATAATCCTGTACAGACTGAAAATATTCACAATAAAAATCACATGTATCCAATAAGACTTTTCTTTAACACCACACTTGTTCATTTGAAATATTGCAAGTTAATACACAAGCAAGTATAAAACTGCAGTGTAGTCCAAGTTGTGCTGTGCTGGTTCTTTAAGAAATTAGAGTTGGTGATTAGACCACAACATTTGCAAGTCTAAGGCGTGCAGGAACATGTCCTGCTGAATCTGAATCACTGCAGCATTTTAATTAAACCAGGATCCTGATAGAATAAGGCCTATGAGCTGCTTATGAGATAATACATTTTTCCCTTCGGAAGTAAAAATACAGAACTTTTCCCCATTGTTTCTAATGGACCTTTATTACTGTGCCCGCATCTGATCTCAAGACAAAGAAGAGATTGCGGTTTTCTGCAGTGCTTCAATTGTCTACATACAGTGACGCCTAGACTGAACAAAGCAAACATTAAAAATAAAATCTCGCCACTGCCTGGCCTTACGGAGGAGGGAGAATGTGAGGAGAGTGTTTTGTGTGTGCATGCGTGTGTGTGGTCATGCAGGCTGGACGATGGTAATATATTCTGTCATTATGTCTAAGGATCTTTCACCTTGTCTTATCATCCCATACAGGAACGAACACGCACACAGCTAGAGAAGAGAAAGCTCAGTGCAGGGGAATATCTCACAGACCCACATACTCTCAGGAGACACAATGAGAATATGCTATTTCTGTGGCATTATGGGTTCGCACACGCATATACCCAGGCTTAAAGCTACACATGCACATACGCACGTACATGCATACGCGACAGACCCTTTATTTTCCTATGAAATATTCATACCCGATATCGCCGTTTCCATTTATACAATATCAGCATTCTCTTTCTCCCTCAAAACAGCTGGTGGTCATCATAAATGCAGTGAAGGGACAATAAATGAATTTCTCCTGATCTACTTCTGCTGAGTATATCCTCAAACCCCTCCATTACATTCAAGAGTCTCACTTACAAAGAAAAAAACCCATCAGAAAATACATCAAAACCAGGACCACGGGCAGGAACTTCAGCTGCTCATAACAGAAAACAGAACGATGCAGAATGTGACGCAGTGTTTGAAAGAAACGGTCAGAGAAGCATGTTGTAATACAATAGAGAAACATGGTGTGGTTTGTACATGTTTGGTATGCAGTCACGAATACCTCCATACTAGGGCTGCATCAATACCATTTTTAACGCACATGGGACATGTTATTTAGCTCTGCTCATGTTTCCCCCGGTTTACAAAGCGGTCATGAAGAGAGCACATGTGCATGTACATGCATTTAGGCTACTAGGACCGGTCTTCAAGGTCATGGCGATGACTTTTAAATAAAGTGCATTAGCTAGCTACATTAGATATGGTTAAAACCAATACACTGGGTAAGAGCTGTTAGTTTCACTCACACAGCATTGTCTGTAGATATTTTTCAGCAACTATTTGCTGTAGAGGGAACACTGTGTGCCATCAATTAGCCCCTTGTTCTGAATTTGATCTTTTAGAGGTTTTATCAGGTTATTTATATTTTACTAAAGATGCTGTAGTTCCTAGTCTTGATTTGCAGAGAGGAGAGTCTGCTTTGTCGGTCGTCATTACTCATGTAATACGTCCAGACCACGGTCATTGTCTGTCGACTGTTCATTAGCATGACAACGTACACTAGAATTACGTCACATCACCTGGCACCAGATGTTGGTATCTGAGCAATTTTTATTTTATTTTTTTACATTTTTTGTTAAGTAAAACAAAAATCAAACAGTTGTTTTGCGCTTACAAAAGGTAAAAACTTGTGAATTATCGGTTCTGGAACAAAATGGAAACTATGCAAATGAATAGAGAGGATAGAGGACGATTGCTCTCGCTCATCTTCAAATATATAACAGCTGAGTGGCTCCACTACAAGTCATATTTCTAACTACACCCCAGAGCAGCACTACACTAAAACTTGGCTTGATGGTCTAAAATGTTCACCCTGAAGTCAGAAATCGCGATTTTGAGGAGGTAAGACAGATGTACACACACACACACACACAAAAACAAACAAACAAAACAACAAAACAAAACAAAAACCCAACACCATAAAACAAGGCTGCTGGATCAGATCAAGGACAGATGACCTAAGTCAATACCATTACAACAGGTCAATACTTCTGAGATGACACTCATCTAATTTTGGAAAACCAAACACGCACTAAATTTTTTAGCAGTCAAAGAATGAAAAGCAAAGAAAGCGTTTCTGTACACCAAGGCAGTGGGTGGAAGAATAAAATAAAATAAAAAAAAGAAATGGGGGGGTTGGAGTAGGGTGTGTGTGAGATATATATATGAGAGAGAGAGAGCGAGAGAGAGAGAGAGAGAGAGAGAGCGCGCGCAGCATGAACGATACACTATACTTCAGAATGGATTAGATATCAGGAGATACAGACTGCTATATTCAGGTGAGAGGGATATAAAAATAGCACATGTACAAAGTGTTCTGTAGCAACAAAATCTCAAAATTCAAGACTTGGGCACATTTTAAATGCTAGCACCAAACACCAGATCATTTCCTACCTGCAATCATGCTATTTAGCTCAATCTCCTCCTCCTCATCTTTGATACGCAGATATTTTGTTGACTGAGCAATCCTGAGAGAGAGAGAGAGAGAGAGAGAGAGAGAGAGAGAGAGAGAGAGAGAGATATTATATATATATATATAACACAGATAAGTGATTATACAGCAAAAGAGAAAGTAAAATTTTTACAGGCCAGAGAACATGTGAGCATATCTGACGACACCGTGGCAGCAGGATGAAGTGGTCTAACCCTGTTAGACATGTTTTTCACAAGTGGTGTGCTCACTCGATCACATACACCTGTGATAATGTGGATCAAGTTTACATTTCATAGTACACTCAGAAAAACAGTACTAACTGTACCTTCCCTGGTTTTGTACCTTTAATATGAATCTTTCACCTGAAACTGTGGGCAAATAGTAAACCTTAACATATTGATTAAAAAAACAAAACAAAAAAAAAAAAACCCCACACACAACGCTACACTACATGGAACTTTCTAGGTAAAAGATGCGTACTAAAGATTTAAAAAGGTGTATCCTTGAGCAACAAGTACAATTTAGTACCCTTTTGTTAGCTTTTTTCTGAGCCTGCAGACCAATCAGTACACTTCATATCCATAAGGGGGCAGTGGGAATACTTAGTGTAATATCAACATATATAAAGTACTACTGCACTGTTAGAGAGCAATAGTGTTATTACAAGTCCTGGAGAGTAACATGCTCAGAGTCGGAGTAATGTAGAGAAAAAAAAAGAAAGAGAGGAATGCTAATGTCCTCAAATTACACACGTTTAGATTCGATTCGAAACGGTTTTACACCTGGGTTACTTCATTAGTCTGCATCCTACAAAAGTAATTTTTTTTTTATTTGACTGCAATACTTCAAATGGAGCACTTTCCACAGACCTCCAAAATCTGACTTCCCATCCAACCATCCTCTGTACCACCTATCCTACACAGGGTCACAAGGAGCCTGGAGTTTATCCCAGGGAACTTTGGTGCACGAGGCAAGGAACACTCTGGATGGGGTGCCAACCCATCACATGGCACGCACACACAAAACATTCTGGAAACACCAATCAGAATACGACACAGGTCTTTGGACTGCAGGAGGAAACCAGAGTACCCAGAGGAAACCCCTGAAGCATGGGGAGAACACTCAAATTCTGACTTCCCATTCAGTACATCCAAAATATGAATCCTGTTTTACAGATTCATCAGAAGCATTTTCTCCCATGGGAACTCTCTTGATGGGAACATAAACTGAAGCTCTTGACCTGTACTGAAAGGACTTGCACTTTCAGTTTCACATGCATTGCACAGGACCGTTACTGTACGTGTATATACTTGAGGTAAGCCACTGACATTATAAAAGGCAAAGATAACCACTTAAAGTTAACCAGAACAGATTTGATGGAGATATAAAAACACCAGTTAAAAGTAATCTGTGGCAATATCCTAGAGTTAGTCTAGATTCATATTCCATGCAGGCGAAGACCGCAAAAGGAAGAGAAATGCCATCCTGTTCTCATGGAGAGGTCATAGCACTGTCTCTGAATCAGCCCAAGGGAGAGAATACGCCTGAGCCAAGACACACTCGCTGAGAATTCCTCTTGTTTATAGTTTTAGTGCAAAAATAGCTCCAAAATATGTTATTAGTGAATGCAAACTAAACAGAACATGAGCGATTAAGGGTGGGAAATAAAAGAGATGGGTTTAGAGAGCATTCTTGGTGAGAAAGC